AGTTGGAGAGAGAGAGGATGAGTGTTCATAATTCCAGACTGGATGAGTTCTGTTTCCTCAGGTTGTGTATGCCATATAGGATTCTGTCATTCCGAGTTTGGGGTGTTGCCTTTTGGACTTTTTCAGGTTGAGGAGAAGGTTTGTCCACTTTGGTGTTGCTTACCTTTTTGTTATGATTCTGGTGGCTCGAAATGTATCACTCTATAGCTACAGGTCTGCATCCATTCCTCCTATATCTGGGATCTTTGCCATGCCTATTTGCTTTCAGATTTGGTCTTGGGGTGTTCCCAACTCCTTGGAATCCCAGGTTTAGGCTGCTTGTTCACCTACAATCTTCTATTGTTTCCTCGATTTTCTGACTCATTGTTCCAAGGGTCCCCCTGTCTTCCACTCATCCTCAGAAGTTACATTGGGCTATCCCGCTTCCATTCCTCGTTCTCTTTCTTCTGTTCAACACATTTTCCCCCACATGGCTAGCCATTGTGACTCTTATTTGGAATTGATCCTGGGCCCTGATCCTGTAGGTGCTCACCTCTCCCACTTTACCTTCCTGTCTTCTTCCTTCTCCAGTGACCCTGGGGTTCTGCACCTTCTTTTTCATTGTTTTTCTCTCTCTTTTCATATTCCACCTAGTGACCCTGGGGTTCTGCACCTTCTTTTTAATTGTTTTTCTCTCTATTTTTCATACTCCACCTTTTATTTCTCCTTTGTCTCTTCCAACTAATCCTCTGCATCTTCATCATCTTCAGGACATGGTATCTTCATTGTTGGTGGCAGAAACTATAGAATCTCTTGCTCACCCCACTCAGGACTTTTATTCCTGCTTTTTTGTCACTCCCATGAAGTCGCAGGTTTGGCACCCTGTTATCAACTTGTCATCTCTGAATCACTTTCTCATTCTTCCTCGATTCTGGATGGATGACTTTCCCGGTCTGAACTTATCTGTGATAGACATTTCAAATGCCTTCCATCACAATTCCATTTTTCCTGTGTCCCATCATTCCTTTGGTTTGGCCTCAGTGGTCATGTCTTTCAGTTATGTGCCCTTCCCTTCTGTCTATATCTGGCCCCTTTGCTCAGTGCATGCATCTTTTTCATCTTAATTTCCATCATTAAATGGTTGTTTGGCTTCTCCTGGCCCCATCTCAACAGAAATTGGCAATTACTACTTCCACTCTTCTCTGGAAAGTCTCTCACTTAGGCTGACTGGTCTAACTTTCAAAGGCCATTTTTGACTCCTACTCTGTTTCTTTTCCATCTGGGGGATTTTCTTAACTCCTGCACAGGGAATACTTAACCCTTTGCCCTGCACTGCATATTCATGCCATGAATTTGTTGGTATCCAGGACACTTCTCTCTCACCTTTAGGGACTCTTGCATCTTTATGAGCCTTTATTCATCTTGTTTGTGCATAGAATGAGCTTTAGGGATCATTGGAACATTTCCTGTGATCTCTTATCTGCCCTTGTGTCTCTACATCTCTCTGTCGTGGTGGCTTGATTGCTCCAACAAAATCTGGGGTTTATCACTTTCCCCCTCAGCCTAACTTGTATCTTTACACCAATGCCTCTATCTCAGCACCATCATTCTCTCTCTGAAGTCTGGTCTCCAGAGAATCATTCTGTGTATATCAATTTTCTGGAGATGACTATAACCTATTGGGCTTGCCACCTTCTTTAGTTGTGGTTTTCTGGTCATCTTGTAATGATCCATTTGGACAACTCTATAGTCGTTAATTCAATCAGTTGCCAGAGAAGCACCCAGTCTTGGGACCTGTGCTTTTTTTCTCTAGACTTCCTTTCTTGGGCCTGTGATTATCATATTCAACTTATGGCATGCCATGTCCCTGAGGATTGTATCTGGTTATGGATTGTTTATCTAATCCTGATAGAATTCATCCAGTGGGTGGTCTTTAACTCCTACAGTCTTCTATTACATTTGTTCCCATTTTGGAACACTCCGGATTGATGCTTTTGCAGCTCTCAGTTTGGAGGTCTCTCCTCACTCAACCTCAGTCATTCATTTTTTACTAAAGGGTGTTGCATTTTTGTGTTCACATCTAGGACTTGTCTGGTCCCTTTCTGACATGAAATTTTCCTGCAGTGTAGTCCAATTCTCTCTCACTCTTCATTTTTCTATTTTTGCCCTCTATCAATGTACCAAGGTTGCCTATCATTTATGGAACTTCTACCACTCTCTTCAACCAGATTTTCCTACTCCTTCACATCTTACTTCCTTCTTTACCTAGTTTTTCATCTAGGGTCTGTCTGTTTTGACCAGTCCAAGTTATTTTAGAACATTTTAAACAATCTTATTATCTTTTGTCAGGCATTAATCCCTTCTGCTTTCCCCCCTCCCCCTCATCTGCTCCTTCTCGCCTACTGGGACCTTTGTATGGTCCTGCTTTTACATGCCCCTCCTTTGAGCTATTGGTTTCCTAGTATAATTTGACTCTCAGGATGTATTTTATTCTCTTTGCTTTTGGTTATTGTTGTTCAGACATTCATATTCTCACACACACTATCATAGGGATTGGTTAATGTTGTTTCCAGTTCACTACTTTCTTCCAAAGATTTGGGCTGCCTGGAAGGGAGATCAGATGTTTTTCGTATCCTGTAAGGACTGTCTGTTGTTGTCTCTTTCGATTTGCCCCTTTTCATGACAACTGCTGTCTTCTATTTTTATCATGACAGGCCTCCTCCTCTCTGGACGTGTTCCCTTCAACTTTAACTGGTTTTGTCGAGTTTGATCATTAGAATTTTTATGTCTCTTCTCACCAGTTTCAGCATGACACAGCCTCTCTTTTTCTTGTCGCCAGCCTTTGGAGGAGATCTTATGATGTTATATGGACTACACCTAACACATTTGTTTCCATTACTTACATCATTGAGTGGGTAGGTTCATGTGCTTCTTGGTTTCTTGCTTCCCTCCAGTCTACCCGGAGGCTCTAATGAAGTGATTTTTGCCTGTTGTGTTTTTCAGTCATCTCCATGGCATTCTTACACTTCATAGCACCAAAGAATATAGACTAATAACATGCAAAAAATAGACTAATTCCCTTGCCTCTCAAAAGTTTTCTGGTTTTTTAACTATGCGACAAGAGTCATTACAAATTCATCCAAGCTAGTCGTTAACTTTCTCATGGGAATAATGTTGGTACTCTGAGTGAAATTTACATTTAACCAGTCAGAACATAAGTTATATAATACGTCATTTGATAGATGAAAACCTTGACTTTCTGTAGGTTATAGGTAATATATAATTAAATGTAAGACAGAACTATTAACAAATTCTGAAAGAGAGGATGTGACAGGTAGGTAGAAGGACAGTTACACACAAGGTAATAGCTCTTAGTAGTGCAGAGATCTATCTATCTGACGTGCATTCTGAGGTAAGAAACATATTAACACTTATCTAACTTATCTAATCTTCATTTATTTATTATTATTATTTTATTTTTTCAGTATTGTAACACATACCATAAAGATTCTAAGCAGAGGTTACTCACTGATGAAAGGGTCAGCACTAACCATCTTTTTCAAATAATATACAAAGCCCAAAATGTGATTCCCATTTTTCACAGCCTTGTCAAATTCCTGCTTTGTGGCACTATCGCAAGCAGATTACTGAAGACGAACTTCGTTCCCAGCTTGAACAACAGCAAAGGATAGATTTATTGCTTTTATCTTTATTCTTTCAACAGGTATTTGTCTTTCTTTCTTTCTCTCTCTCTCTCTTTTTCAGTCACACTGACATTTACAATGCACTGCAGTTCAGGATTGTTAAAACTGTTGCAATAGATAGTGCCTGTCAGGTTTTGTACGATCAAATTTTTTACATTTGGTGTTTGTGATTTGTTTGTGATACATTTTAAGTATAAACAAACAGCAACACAATATGCTTGATTTAAAATATGTTATAAACAATCAAATGTATATACTAATGTTCATCACTTTGTTGGTTACCACAATTGTATCCAGAGCTTTAAATAATTGTATCTTTTTCTCCTAAAATTAAACACAAGCTGGTTCAGTTACTTTAGAATATAATTGTCAAATTGAATTTTTTTTTCTACTCTCTTATTACAGTACAGTGTGTGATAATTTCATTTTAAAAATTTCTACTACATACACTTTATCACTAAACTCATGATCATGCAGTCTAGAGTAGAACTCAATAATGATTTTCTGTGCCTCTTTATATTCCAACAGAAGTCTAGAACATTTTATAGCACACTATTGTAAACAGTCACTAATTTATAACAATTGAACTGCACAACATAGGATTTGTAAACTGTTTTGTAAACAAACTTCCCATGAAAAATTGCTTCTAAAAATAACTAAATATGACATCTGTACTATATAAACTAACTAACTTGTAACTTTCCCATTAAAATTAAACTGAAACAGTCGTGTATATCTAACAATAAGCCCCTCTTCAAGAAAAATATTTACAGTATTTTTTTACTATATACAAAGACTTCTCAGTACATGCTCACAGTCCACTTATACAGTCTGCACCACCATTTACAATCCCCTTGATGGCCTCAATGTGGAACCAGTAGTTCTGGAGGTACAGTACAATGCCCAGCTTATGATCCTCTCACTGTTAATTTTGCACCTCTGGATGTATGCAAGGTGTTGATGATCCATCCAGATGATGAACTCTTTCCCGTAGAGGTAGTTCTGGAACTTCTGGATGGAAATCTGATGAACAAACACTCTTGTTCAATTACAGAGTAGTTTTTCTCACTACTGAACAGCTTTTTAGTAATGTACATTATAGGAAACACTTTGTCTTCATGTTCTTCACACTGTTGTTTACCATAATTGTATCCAGAGCTTTAAATACTTGTCTCTTTTTTGTTCAAGTCCACATAGGCTGGCTTGGTTAGTTTAGAACACAAGTGACAAGAAAATTATTATTCTCTACTCTGTTATTACAATAGTCTGTGATCATTTCACTTTAAAATTCACTACTATATACTCTTTATTGTTAAACTCATGATCACACAGTCTAGAACTAGAACTCTATAATGATTTTTCTGTGGATATTTATACCGTGATAGAAGTCTAGAACATTTCATGCAATACTAGATATTCTGATGCAATAATACTCAATTAAACCAATGAGAAACTCAGAAAGTTCTAACAACATGACCCAATGATCTTACTACTGTAAACAATTGATAATTAATAACAATTGGACTACACAAAGTATGATTATAAACAGTTATGTAAATAAACAGACCATAAAGTATTGCTTCTAAAAATAACTAAATATGACGTTTGAGCTATATAAACTATCTAAATCGTAATGCTCACATTAAACTGAAACAGTCGTGTACATATAACAGTGCCAGTGAATGAAACCAGTTAGAAAATATTTTTTTAAACTTTTCTTTAAATTAATATGTATAAACTTGTCATTAATAATAATATTTAAAGTTTTTGTAGAGTTTTATCTTAAAATTATTGTTTTTTAAAGTATAAAGTCATTATATATATCTAAAAAGTTATTGAATTTTTGTAGAGGTATATTGGACCAAGTATAACCTTAAGTTGTCTATTTTGTGTAGGTTAGTCAACTGCAGCTAGTGCAGTATCTTCCTGATCTTGTGCTTCTTCAGTCTCTGTTGGTTCAGAAGTTTCAGCGATGCCTTGACGTCACTTATGCTCATAACATAAGCATAAAAGAATTTCTTAATAATATGAAAGAAAAGAAAGGTAGCTTCAATTCATCTTACCTCAACAAGTTGTGACAATTCTATATATCAGTTTGTGATATGTTACCAAGTTCATGTATTTTGTTACCCTAAATAAATAATGCTTTAAATGTTTGTGTACAGAACCAGTTGTAATATATTGTTAAGGTTTCCTGAAAGTGAAAGTTTTCCATGTAGATATATCTATAATTAATAAAAGAAATAAAGGCTGTTTAGTCTAACACTTCAGTGATCTTAAATAAAACAGATATCTATTTGTAATTAATGCATGTTGCTTAACACCTAGGGCAGGGGTCAGCAACCTGCGGCTCTCTGGCTATCTCCTGTGTCCACCAAGGGGAATCAAACCCCTGATTTTAGTGTTCTAAATCTGAAGACTTACTGCTTTAAGTTAGACTTTTATGGCATATTGTGGCTCTCAAAATGTTTTGGTCTTAGACAAAAACAAGAAAATGGATGTTCTTTGAAGGATTGCCGACCCCTGACACCCTTACAACATGAACCAGTACAGGTGTTTTTCTTGTCTTTCAGAAAAGCATTATACCATTGAAGTTGTTGTTTAATATTTGTCTTGTAATTTTCTACAGACCCAATGTTTCATCAATTCCAACAGTTGGTCAAGGTTGCTGTGAATACCTGGAACTCTGCACGTTCATATATTTCAAATTATGGTCAGTTAAATGTTATCAAGTATGATCTAGCACTTAGTGAGTTTAATAAGTTTCTTCTATTATAAAAGGACTGTTATGCCATAGAAATTGCAACTTTCAATGCACTCTAGCTTTTAATTTTTACTGTTTTTATCTGTTGACTAGATATTATATATTTCTCTTTTTTTATTTTAGGAAGTACTTGTTTAAGGATGTATCATATTCAGAAGGTCAAGACTAGTGTAAAATCTCATAATAAACCTTTCATTTCTAATCATAGCATACTACAGAATCATTTTATGTTATTTTCTTAGTGTTAATGCAGAAGTAATATATAGAAAAACTGACACTATAGTTATGTTTTTAAAGTTGATAGTGTAAACCATTTGCTGTCAAAGCCATAGTATGGACTGAATTCACATTTGACATTTACATGTATATGTATGTATATATATATAAAATAATAATAATTTTATTCAAGATATTACAGTACTTTTGTATCAGTTTACATTAAGATAATTCAGTACAGTAAAAATTTCTATTACAAATATAGGTGTACTGTATCAGCTTAACATATGCAGTTATTGAAACATTTATGTATTGCAGTCTTTCAATTTGTGTAACATCTCAATTTATGATTAAACAGTTTAACACAATCATAACAGACCTTGACCTTAGCTTTTGAAACCATTAACACATTTGAGGACAGCTACTGGCAATATTATTATTCTTCTCTAAAATTAACTATAACTCTGTCATAATTAATTTTTTCATGTATTAAATGTTAATATAAATTATATGGATAAATCTTCTGTGTTAAATTTTCTCTTCAAATAAGTTTGAATATCAAAAATAAATACAAATGTATATGTGTTTTTATTTTTAATTATTCCACAAAAATTAGAAATGTTCAGTTTATAGTACTAACTTTTTATGCTCAGAAATTTGAAATGTAAATAATAAAAATGTGTGTATTAAACATTTATTGGTACTTGACAGTTAGAATATCTGCAAATCTGCCTTCCAAAACGTATTCTGGTATTTGTTTCTAGTGCTTAAGTTCTACTAACCAGTACTTTGCTAGTATTGCTTTCAAACCCTGAATAACCTTCAACTTATAATATGGAATAAATGTGTCTTATATAAGACACATTTGCCCAGAATTAACATAACATGTGGAAAAAAGGTTATTTGGTTTTTCAAGGTTATTCTTGCACACCCACCTTTTATTTTCAGGAAATCATTGATTCCCATCATAAGCTTCTGGCTGCTGAAAGAGATCATTCTATAAACTAATCACCCTGTTAGAAGAGATAAAACTGTCTCAACAGCTGGAACCTACCTAGCCTTTTTTTTTCTTCTAAATATGAAGTTTGTCCTGTTTGCTTCAGAATATCAAAGAAATCAAAAGCCTTTTCAGATTAATCTCTCTTTGGATAATCTTGTAAACTCCAATAAATTCATCTATTACCTTCTTTTCTCTAGAAGAAAATAAGTAGAGTGATTTTAATCTGTCTATGTAAGATAACTCTTTCATCCCCAGAATCATTCTACCTGCATGTTAGCCCTCCTCTGAACCCTTTTCCAATGATTCAATATCTTAGATAATGAGACCAAAACTATTGATAGTATTTCAAATGAGGCCAAACTAGTGATTCATATTGAAAATAGATAATTACTTCTTTTGACTTACAATCAATATATCTAAGTAAAACCTAAAATTTTATTAGCTTTACTACTAGTAACAGAGCACTACCTCAGTGACTAGATTGAGTATTTTATCCATCATTATCCTAGTGAAGATTTTTTTCTACTTAAGCTATTGAGTAAGTTCTAACTGTATTAAGTGTGAGATCCAATTTATGATTACCCAAATGCATTACCTTGCACTACCTAAAATTAACACTTTCCCAAAGGGCTTGTGTATTTTACACAAAATTACTCTGTGAATGTGTAGCTCAAGTTACCATACTAAATGACATGTATGGCAGGATTATTAGTTAAACATGGTTCAAAGAGCAACAGAACAATAAGATTTAAGTATAAACAGATGTAGACTGTTATGAACTTTAAGCTATTTAGGCTAGATATTTGTAGTTTCCTGTTAAAATTTGCAATCATTCTAGAAAGGAAAAAATGGGTAATTTAGATTTATTTCCTAATTATTTATGGTGATTGCAAGGTAGGTGAAATTGACCGACTGTGTATAGACCTACAATAGAGAAAATAACAGTTAAAATATAAAGTTTTAATGAAAAAAACGTTTGATATTTATCTTAGAGGTCTTGGAAATTGCACAAATAAAATTTGGAAAATTTCAAATAAGAAAGGTAGTTTTAATTTCCACATGATCATCACTACACTTGGAGCAGTCAATACTCTGACTCCCTATATTCAAGGACAAATCTTTAGTAAAAATATTAATCTAAAAATCTGATTTTTTGTGTACAAAAGACTTGTAATGCTTACTGAAAGCTTGCCAGATTTTGTTAGGATACACAAAATGTATTAAAAGTTAGATTATAGAAACTGTAATAGATACCTTGTAGTTACAAGGCTGGTCACATCGACAGAACCCATACAGAGAGAGTTAATATCTACATGATTCAGGTGAATTTCAGCATATCACATAAACTGTGTAGTGTCAGGAATACTGCCAATATCTTTTCTTGTGAAAACATAAGATAACATATAAAAGCTCAACCATCTCATAACTTTTAATAAAAACCTTGTATTCAGCATCCTTTAAAGATCCAATACTCATTTTTAACATTTTGCTTACCTTTAACATCATCATTCTGCTGCTTCTCCTATGCCCTTTATGAGTTTTTTTTTATAGTTTTGTAAATCTTCCATCATATTTGCCAATTTACTTAAACTTATGGCATTTGTACTTGATTTTTCTTCTCTATTTCTAAGCCAGTTAGGTTTGATCTTCCCTGTTATCATTTTTATCTTTTTTAGGAACATGCATATCTTGAATTCAAAGCAACTTATTTTAAAATATTTCTCACATCGCCTTTAACTTCTTATTCCCATTTGCTAATGATAAGGCTTGTCCCACAGCCTCAGAATTTCATTTCTTTTTATCTCAACATCCACAGAATTCATGAAGAGACATAATTATACAATGTTCACTCTTCCGTTCCAAATATTCCTCTTTTTCAATTATTACAGCATTATCCTCATTAGGGATTAACATTTAATCTAGTACTACTAAAACAATACTTATCCTCACCAAATAACAGTATAATCTGCAACTAATTTTTTGTCACAGAACTTAAAAATAGTCTATTCATTACTCTCAACAGCTCCCTCTACAAGTTGATAGAATTAGCTCCAAGATATTCTTTTACTTACAGTAAATAGTATAGTTTAAATAATGTGCACTTTAGCTTAAACTTATATAATTGCATTGTTGAACACAATAAAAACCTTAAAATTTGAAACTAAAGAAACTAAATAACTGTTGTTCAAATATGACATATGTTACTGTAAATGATGAAGTTGATATATTTTAAACAATACCTCTTTATTCAGGTGTAGTTCATGTTCATATTAAATAAATTAAAATACTTATGTAAGTAGATAAGTATCTGCCTCTACTGAACATATTAATTTATATAGTAAATAATGAAATGAGTGAGATACAATGCTGACAAATGAACAGTATCAAACTTCCATTCAACAACATGGCTTTATATACTGTGTCTATTGATAGTGATGCAAATTTATGTTATTATTAGATGAGTTTATTATTTTTCTACTATGGACTCTTGTACCACAGTCCACTAGACATTGCAAGTGGTGGATCAAATAAATATACTATGATGGATTCTTATACACTGGAACTAAGTTTCTCAGATGATGTTAAAATTTTTTTTATAATGAACATAAAGGAGGGAGAAAAAAAACATTTGTCACAGAATTATTCACACGTCATATGCTAATTACGGACATGTGGACAGTGAAACCTACCTGAACCTAATGGTAAAAACTAATGACAATGATGAGATTAAGTGTGATTAAAATAGTTCTTCTAATAAGTGGCAAAATAAACATGACACAACTGACACAAAGTCAGTTGAAGCACAACAAAACCTACTGGCCCATAGGCCTTCTTTCATTGTTGGATTATCTTTTACAAGTAATATTGAAAGAATTTAAATTGCTTTATTTTATTTATTGGTGAATATACAGTAATATAAATGATTATGGAAAGAATGAATGAAATGGGTATGAAATGCAAATATTATGGGATTGCTCCCACTATGCTGTATAAAAACGAATTGCAACACAGAACTGTGACTGGTTGTCATTCAACCAATCAGACAATTATACACCAGCATAATGCCTATATAAAAGTACAGGCCAGGCAGTCACAATATTCCCACCAGTAATGTAGTAAATGCATTCATGGGTGCTAGGGCAGAAATGCCACATGATAAATCCATAAAAATTCATGGATTATTTGGTAGTAGTCAGCATAACTTTGCACCATTCGACTGTAAGTGGCAATAAGAAAATCAGTAACAGCTGTTGCTTTACGACCTGCACCTTGGCGACAAGGTAGGATTGAAGCAAGAGGACTACCTAAAGTGAGAGGTTTATGAGCATCTTCCTGAGAGATTGTTATTCCACCTGAAAAATTAAAAGGTATCTTTCTTAAATTCTATGTTAATGACATGTAAGGCTTAAGAACTAAACATTTTTTCATATTAATTTTTATTTCTGAACATTCTACTACTTAATATTAAAATAAAGAGGCAATGTGTAAACATTACTGTTTTTATCAATTCTTATAAAATATCTCTATTTTTTATGTCTGTCTTAAATCACATAAGTTACTTAAATAGAATTGATAATAATTACAATACACATACTTAATGTAGTTCACATCAAAACTAGTTTTTCATGCAATTGATGATATAAATAGCACCTTGACCACTACTATGTCTGTCATATTCCAGCTGGCTTGATGAGCCCTGGTATTGAGCACAAGGCCTTGACAATGTTAGGTATGGAAGATGTAGTGTGTTTGATATATTGTATACTAGTTTTTTCTTTCACTCATAAGTTCTTAAAATTACTAATGTAGTTTTCTTTCATTGATGCTGTGGTTGCTTGTCTTTCTCTGGGAACAAGAAAACTAGCTTGCTGGTTTGCCTATTCTTCCAGTTGATTGTAAAAGTTAATTCAAGTGAAAACAATAAGAATAGTATATATTTAGTGTTAAAATAAATAATACTGCATTATTAATTCTATTCTAATTCTGGTTTGTTAATTACTTAGACAAAACTGATAATAATTGCAGTTAATCTAGTCCACACCATAACAGTTGTTGTTTTCACAAGTTATGAAATAAATAGTGCCTAAATTACTATTATGTCTATTGTATCACAGCTGACTGATGAACCCTAATATTGGACAAAAGGTCTCATAAGTTCTAGATATGGCAAATACAGTGTAGTTGACATTATTATTACATTTTCTTCTTTTCTTTCACTCACAGTTTCTTAGAATTAAGTTATTCATCATGAGGATTAATGGTATGTGGTGGAGTTTCTGTCACACATACTTAAATGTGTAATATCAACACACATGGTTGGACATTTCTAAAAGTACGATAATGAAGGTGTTTTATTAGAACCCAAGCCAGGATGTCACATTTATTCTGTATGTTTTTTATCACATATTATTTTACATAGTTTGGTTTTAATTATCACTATGAAAGGTAGATGATAGATAAAGAGAAATTTGATTATAAGTCTAGTTATATAATTTGCAATAAAAACTTTTGTCTCCTCTTCAGCATATGTTCAGTTAGTATCTTTTGTTCTAATGTTGCTTAAAACCTCTTTAATCCACATGGTACATACTTATATGTTGTTGAAAAATGCAAATGCAAATTGGTCATAAATTGTTTCTTAAAACAACCAATAGAAGCATCATATTTTGCATATTGCCAGCTTTTAGTGGGTGTACACCAATAAAACATACTTGTTTGACTTTAGTAGTAGCATGGAAGTACTGTTTATCAGTGGACTCTTACAGTCAATACATTATCTTTATGCTAATGACTGGACCAAAGTGTGGTGCAGTCATTAGTATACAAGACATTGGATGTGAGATGTCATGGGTTATATCTGATTGCCATAAGAAAACTATATTCCTAATTCTGGGATCATGAATGCCTGAAAAGAGTAATGGTGAAGTTCCACTATTCTGCCTTATAAGAGTATCCCAAGAGTTGGTAGTGGGTGGTTGACTATTTACTTTCCCTCTAGTCATTGCTTTAAAATTAGGGATGGCTAGCACAGATAGCTCTCGTGTAACTTTGTGCAAAATTCAACAAAACAAAATTTATTTGTTGCTCCAAAATTTCTCAGTTGGAAGTTTGTGTTTGTTTTTATGATAACAAATTCAGTACATTTTATTTTAAAGATTCCTTCATCTCATCTTTAAATGCATTTCATATAACAAATTTCTTCTTTTCCACAGCACCCAAGTATCTCCCCTTAAGTTGTTTCCATCACATTTAATATCACCACAACCTGCGGCCATTAAGCAGATGATTCTATTACATTGCCAGTACGTTACAGAAGTAGGACAGGAAACAAAGCCTGAATTTGACTTTCCAGGACTTCAACGTTACCTTGTGGATCAATGGATAAAAGGCCAACCCATGATCAAAAGAACAGAAGTAAGTTTGTATTATATTTCTACAAGTCACATATGAAAGATGTAAAGAAGTATGATCATAATGATAAATGTTCTTAACAATACAATAATCGTCAAATAATCAGAGTAATAATTACATATTGGAGATGTCATCTTTGACAGTACATTCAAACCAAGTAGCACTTCACCGTCTCCGATTGGCTAAAATATTAATTATTATAAGATAAGATTTTGATCCTAGAGAGTTAATAGTTGAAACTAGCAATTCCTTCATCTAATAAGGGACATAAGCATATAGAAAAAAGTAATGTTTATTAACTGCATAAATAGACAGCTTAATTGAGTATTTATAACCAGCACCAGTGTAAAATACTGCTATAAAGTTATGTTGAACGGTGGTTGACATTAGTTTATAAATTATGTTACATATAGCTGCTTGTGTAAAATTCAGAAAAAGTGGGTGAAACAGGAAGATGCCACACCAAAGAAAATAGAAATTATTTACACAAGATGCTTTCCAAAACATGCTGAGATAGGACATAGCTAGGATAATAATCCAAAGATGAAAATCACATAAAAAACTGCAGACAGAAAAGACTAATAGAGTTCAAGAGCTTCATGAGAACTACAGAGATAATATACCAAAATATTGAAATGTACATAGATATGTCTTCCTAAAGAAGAAAGTTGACAGTAGTCTTGTAGATTAATGGAAGCTGAGTAATTTACAGTCAATATCAATTGTCCTTTTTTCACTGTGGCAGAAAATAACCTGAATCTTACTTTCAATATTCACCCATCACTATTAAAGAACATTGACAACAGTCCATAATGTTCATACTAGGTATAAAATAGTTGGTCTTATATTAAGCCTTAACTATATTATGATTACAGTGAGACATGAAACATAATTTTGGGAACAACAAATGTGAAAACTTGAAATTTTGTAAAGTTTGAGCAATAAAATTGTATGTCATCAATTGAGCATTTTCCTGTTCACAGTATTCTACAATTTCTAAACTCAAAGACAGCACTGTAAACTAAGGTTGTACTACTGGTTAGAGTTTACATTTGGTTTCAATAAAACGTTGAAAATAAGTTGTGGAAAAGAGCCACCAAAATTTACAAATATACAGAAGCTGAATAACAACAACCAGGTATAGTTTAGTTAAAAACTTGGTGAAACTACCACTCAGTGTAGAGAAGATTGTGTTGTTGTCATTCTCTACAAACATTACTAAAATCCTGCAAAAGAACACTCAGGTAATATCTTAAGCCAAATTAAAGCTTAATTATATTATTTCTGTAATTCCTTTTGTTTTTTTGTCACAAGATTTGAGTTATAAACAAATATGACCAAAGTTTACCAAGTATATAAAATCAAAACTATTTCAGATTCCTCATCTGTTGTTCTGAGAAGAAAATAGTGTCATACAATCTTTTCAACAATTGAGAAAGAAAATACCACAAGTAAGTATACGTATTGTATATCTGCTTGAAGCTATGATAAATTGGAGTAAATATTACAAAATAACTATATTGTAGAAAAAGTCATCATTAGCATTTCATTTAGGCTTTGTATGTTGTACACCACAGGTTTTTACTGTAGTAGTGTAGTAGACTTGGGTTCTGTCTATTTATTTATTGCCTACCAGTGGCAGAGCGGTATGTCTGCGGACTTACAATGCTAGAAACTGGGTTTCGATACCTGTGGTGGGTAGAGCACAGATAGCCCATTGTGTAGCTTTGTACTTAATTACAAACAAACAAACCATTTATATATATATATATAAATGGACAGAAGCCAAGTCTACTACATTTCTGTTACCAATGTTTTCTCTAAACTGCCCAGCAATCTGGCACGTACCAGAAAAACATTGAGAAAAACAAGCCACTCACAAATTAGTCAGTTGCTAATAGTTTTATGTAGAAGACATAGGTCTACTATTTGAATAGTGCCATGTCCAAATGTCACGCAGAAGCTCAGTATAAAAAAGTGTTGTTTAGCTTTTAAAGAGGAATGATTTTTGGAAATTATGGAAACTGAAACTACTTCTGGACAGAAAAGTTGGGATCAGCAGAATTTGTAGTCCTCACAGTAAAAAGAAAAATAAGAGTAAACATTGACCATTACCATTTTTGTTAAAATATAGTATAATTCATGATAGTTGGGGTATTACTTGAATATTTTTTTTTTAAATTTTTACCTTAATATTGCATGCATCATTATCCAAAGTAATGTTTATATTTTCAAAACATTTTCAAGTGATACAGACTATGCTGTGTAACACTACATGAATATCCTGACAATATACTTATCTAATTTTACTTTGTTTCAATGAAATGTGTATGATGTTGGATAATAAATGAACTCTAAATCTAAATGTTTTAGCATACTAATAAACAAATTTGTCTCATTAATTTATTCAGTTTTTAATTTAATTTTTTATAGCCAGAGTTTTTCACTGAACTGCAAGGTTTAAAGCTTTATCAGTTTAATGTTCATACTTTGACCCTTCACAATTTTGAACGTTAGTGCCTTCGGGTTCTTACATTATTAGTTTGTTTTTTTAATCTTCAAAATTTTTTAATTAATCAGTACCAAAAAAGAGAATAAATATGAAAAGCAAGTAAAAACTAGACGTAAGAATAATAAAATTATTATTGTACCTACTTATCCATATACATTTCAAATATTTTGTTTGTCCAGAGGTTAACATCTATATTTACAAAAGTGTTATTTATGAACAGTGTCATAATACTGTTACAGGTACTGGTCTCATCTACAGTGGAATAAACACTAACTAACATTAAACTCCTTCTGTGAAATAATAGTGGAGATATGTTGATTTAAGTTAGCTTATGTCACATCTCTTTTTCAAAGGAAGTAATAAAAAATTGTCCCAGTAATTATATGCCTTTTATTCTTACATCAGTTGTGAGAAAAGTTTGGAAAGTCTGTTAAAAGATGCTTTGCAAAGTCATTTAACAAAGTTTAGAATTTTTATTGGATAATCAACATGATTTCATTAAGGAAAAATCTTGCCTTACAAATATTTTGGCTTTCTTTGAAAAGGTTACTACTTATGAAAGTGAGGATAAGGGTGTATATTTCGTGTATCTGGATTTTCAGAAAGCATTTGATAAGGTTCCGCATAAAGGGCTTGTAAAAAATATCTATTTAGGTGTAGAGGATGAGTTAGCTAATTGGATAGAAGAGTGGGTGGATGGAAGAAAGCAGAGAGTTGTTATAAATGGAGTTCAGTCAAACTGTATTAATGTCACAAGTGGTGTACTTCAGGAGTCAGTCTTAGGAGCTTTGCTCTTTTTGATTTACATCAATGACATAGATGAAGGGATAGTCAATAAATTACTTAAATTTGAAGATGATATTAAAGGTTTGGGTGTTGCTAGCTGTGAAGAGGATGCTGCTCATTTACAAAAGGATTTAGATCATTTAGTGAGTTGGGCAAATAAATGGCAGATGGGTTTTAACTATAATAAATGCAAGATAATGCATGTGGGTTATCATAAATTGAATTATAAGTATAATTTGGATGGGAATAACCTTAACAGTGTCATGAATGAATGGGTTCTTGGTGCAATGGTTGATCAATCTCTTAAGCTATCCAAGCAATATGCTGTTGCTAGTGGCAGAGAAAATAGGTATTTAGGTTGTATATACAGAAATGTTGAATAGAAGTCTAAATAAGTTATAATTTCATTGTATAGGTTACTGGTTAGGCCACATTTGGAGTATTGTGTTTAGTCTTGAGCTTCTTACTTTAGGAAGGACATTGAATTGTTGGAAAGGGTTTAGAAGAGGGTTACTAGAATGATTCCTGGGATGGAGGGGTTGTCATATGAGGAGATATTAAGATCTTTGAAATTGTTTTCTCATGAAAAAAGAAGAGTTAGAGGGGACTGCTTGAGATGTTTAAGATTGTAAAGGGAATTGGTAACATTGATGCATCATTCTTTTTCCATACTTAATGGTGAGAGTTGTAGGTCTAAGTGACACAAATATAAATTTTGACAAGGTAGGAGTCATCTTCAGCTAAGACAATTATATTTTTCTAACAGGATGGTTGCCCTATGGAATGCCTTCAGATGTTGTGACAGTAGTAAATTTAAGTGAGTTTAAGATAAAACTTGATAACTATACGATTAATAAGTGTTGGCTTTAAGATTTTTATTTTATTTATTTGATAGTTTTAGTTTAATTTAAAGGATGAGACAACTGAGATGGACCAGTAGGTCCCTTGTTGTCCCTAAACATTATGTTATGTTATGATGTATACTGTATTGGTGTGTCTTGATGTAAATACTTTGATGTTTCATTTAGATGAACAAAATTAATTTATTCAACTTACTGTGGAGTATAAAATCATTAATTATTTACTTTTCTTAGGTATTCTAGGTATTATTATACAAGTGTAGTTTGTAAAAACGCTCATCATGATAGTTTGTTGAATTTCAAGTCACATGAACTGAAGTCAGTAAACAGGTCATTGTTTAGTTAACTGTCTAAACTCAGTTTCTCCAGTACTACAGAGTGGAAGAGTATTAGAAGATTGGAAGTTAACTAATGTGAGTCCAATATTTAAAGGAGATGATAAACATTGTCCAAGCAATTATAGGCCAGTTAGTCTTACATCAGTAGTTGGAAAAGTTTTGGAGAGTGTGATTAAAGATACATTGCAGACACTTAAAGCAATAATCTATGAGTGTTGGGGAAATGTTATTAAATTGGATAGCAAATTGGCTAGATGGTAGAAAGTAGAGAGTAGTAATAAATGGAATTAGATGTAACAGGATCACAGTTACAAGGTCAGTGTACCTCAGGGCTCTGTGCTGGGTCCTCTGCTGTTTGTGATTTATATTAATGATATTGACTCTGGAATGACTAACAAACCATTGAAGTTTACAGATGACATTAAGACTTTTGGGGTGGCTAACCATATATATCAAAGATGCTGCAGACTTACAGGGAGATTTAGATCATTTGATGCATTAGGTCAGTACGTGGCAGATGATGTTTAACTATCCAAGATATAAGGTGATACATGTAGATTTTCACAATTCAAATGGGAATACATTAAATACTATGGGTGAAGAAAAAGATCTTGGTTTTATGATCGAAAAATAACTTAAGTCATCTAAACAATATATTGTAGCTAGTAATAGGGCTAATAGGATTTGGGGTAGCATCTATAAAAATATTGAATACAAGACAAGGGATATTGTTGTTTCACTATATAGATCATTTGTAAGGCCTCATTTAGAGGCCTTTGTACAGTTTTGCCCTTCCTCAAGAAGGACATAGAATTATTGGAGAAGATTCAGAGAAGAGCCACTAGGATGATATCTTGAAGGTATCATGATACTTATGAGGAGACTAAAATCTCTAAATTTGTTTTCTCTGGAGAGGAGAAGGATCAGAGAGGATTTGATTGGGGTGATTAAGATTATTAAGGGTATTGATAATATAGATCCACCAAATTTTTTTGTGTTTAGCAGTGAAAACAATGGGACAAGGTGGTCGTAGGTTCAAATTTTGGCAACATAGAAGTCGTCTGCAGTTTAGACAGTATTACTTTTCAAACCGGGTGGTTGGCCTTTGGAATGAGCTGCCTTCAAGGGTGGTGGAGGCAGAACATTTAACTGAGTTTAAGAAAAGATTGGATGAATACATGAGTAGTAAAGGGTGGTTATAGTTGGGAGCTGGAAGGGACATTCTTGACGGGCTAATATGCTCCTTTTTGTCTCTTTAAAATTTTATGAATTTACAGGAAAAGCAAAATATAATCATACAAGGCATGTTTTATAAAACAGTGGGTGCAGTTATCATTTTCAAGAATATTTTTTTCACACTCAGACTCTTTAAAAAAGAGTAAAAGGAATGGCTATGTAACTATTTCATGCATCCAGGATGCTAATAAGAATTTTTAGTTCTATTAGCATTAATGCATCATTATTATTATTAATCGTGTAATTCCTTCCAAAGATATTGGACAACACCAAACACTATTAACTGAAAAACTGTAGTTTACCAAATGACAGGTATATGGATGAAAATGGTTAATGTTTGTGTTATTGAACACACAAACAAAAATAAAAAGTTAAACTTGTAAGATCCTAAGTTATGTTCTGGTTGTATACATGTTTATTAAACAGGCCACCGTGTTTGTTCGAATCATAGTAATATCATATATACTTATCATAATTTTAGATAGTGTAGTTTTATAAAGGTTACTATTATGCTGGGTTAAAGTTGTATATTCATTGTGCTATAGGGTGACAAACTCTTGCTCCAACACATAAACCCAAACTGTCTTGTTAACTTGGCAATTCAACATAAGTGATGTCACTGTCTCAATTAGATGGGCCAGTGATAGCTGGCAATTTTTGGAATGTTACATAGTTGTAAATTTTAGTGTTTTTAATAAAGTTAGACTAATTTTGTTCGCTGCTAAAGTAAAGTGTCAACATTTTTTTATTTCTGTGTTAATTGTTTTAACTGGAATAAATAGTATTCCTACAGCATATTTTTAGATAATGTCCAGGCTTAGTTCAAACTTCAAAATCATGCCTTATATTTTGGGGCTATGAGTGTGCTGTAACAGTGATGAACAATCTCACTTTTTAGTCAGACAAGAGTTGGCAGTAGATGCTGTAGATTAGCAGCTTTCCCTCTGTTCTATCAGTTCAAATTTAGGAACATCTATGTACAATTATTATTTTGTGTAGGTTTCACACAAAATACCAAACAAACCTTTAAATGACTTCATCAAGTGAGTAACATGCATTATTTTTGAATGAAAACTAGTTTTTATTGGTCAGACAATTTTGACTACTGTACTGTACAGGTTGGTAATATCTTTAATTAAATTTTAAAGTTTTTCTCAATATATATGTATGTATGTATGTGTTTATTAATTTTGTAAGTATTGTATATTTTTTTGTTTATCTTACAAGTCCTACATTGGCTCAGCAGTAAGTCTGAAGGCTCATAACACTAGAAAAAAGGTTGTGGTGTAGCTTTATGCTTAAGAACAAACAAAAGAAGAAACTAGTTTTATCGAACATAGTTTATCTAATAATAAAACACAGATGCCTTTAACACCTATAGTTAATTATCCTTAGATTTTTTGAATGCTAATTTTTATTCCAAATTTAATTTTAAATGAAGAATATTAAACAATGATAACATCTGATTAGAAAAGGTTTAATATAGGGCTACTTACAGGTCATGTTTTTGTAATGGCATATGTGTATACATATATATTCTCTGTCAGAAATTCCTGATATTTATGTTATTTTAAATTCAATATCATTTACTTTTATAAAATTATGAAACAGTTATTTCTATATTACAAAATAAATGGTGATCAAATTAGGCTGTTTTAAATGTACTGATACTGAAATGTATGGAAAATGATTCAGTCACCTATGGTGACATTATGAAAGTAATACTTTCTTTTCTTATTAACTCATTGTCTCATAATTAGGACGAATATAAACATTTGTAACAAATTTATGTAATGTATCATTATTTAGTGGAAAATGAGATAATGATTTCTGATTTAATATGTAGTAGTACATGCAACAGTTTTGTATAAGCTCATTCTATCTGTAGACAACTATGCCATCAACTCTTCAAAACAACATAACTGAGGAACTTGGCCTTAAATTGGCAGATGTCTGTGACTTTCTAGAGCTTATAGATGTTGCAATAAAATTCCTTTCTGTTACTGGAGGTGATACAGAAGGTTCTTTAGAAAAGTTCCTATTTGATGACCTGCATTATCAGTGCAGGGTTAGTCTGAAGGTTTGTATAATATTTTATCAGTTGCAAGTGTTTTCATTAAATAAATATTTTATATTGTTATTATAACAGGTTTAAAATTATTGTAAGGTAATTATTCATTGAGACTTTATACATAACAACTGCACATTTAATGCAAGTGTAGTAAGCTAAAAGAATGTGCTAAGTAATGATAATACCTAACAGTAGATTTGCAATATTAATTGTAGTGGTTAGTAAATTAACAGTTTCAAGATATGGTAAAATTATTGTAAGGTAATTATTCAGATGGTAACATTGAGACTTTATACATAACAACTGCACATTTAATGCAAGTGTAGTAAGCTAAAAGAATGTGCTAAGTAATGATAATACCTAACAGTAGATTTGCAATATTAATTGTAGTGGTTAGTAAATTAACAGTTTCAAGATATGGTAAAAGCCCACATAAAAGTAGCAGTTTTAAGTAGGATTTTCTATAAGAAAGATAACTAGTTATTATAATCAACCCAAAATTAAGGTTAGAATTGATTTTCGTAAACAAGACGATTGTTTATTGCCATAATTTACACAGTGACTTTTTGCTATATTTCTAAACAGAAAGTGAAGTTCCAAAGCATACTTAACTCCACTGACACTAGAACTATTTCTCGATCTCCAGGATTTCCACTCTTTGCCCATCTAAGCATTGAAAAAACTTGCTCCAGTTTTTTATACTCCACTTGAATGCCCTTGGCAACTTTTAATTTGCAAAATTCACCACAAACTTCAGTGCATCCTCTATCTAGGTACTGTATATAAGCACCTTATTCATATGATATAATCACTTTTTCTTGACAAAGCATTCGGCATGGGTTTCTATAAACAGAAGTGTTGTGATTATTCACAATTTATGTTGCAACTTTGAACATGGTTGTCGTTACTATGGTTATATCTTCATTTATATTTATAAATTACTTTAACAAACAAAAAAAAACATACTGACGGATATGAATTCCCGAGTTAATGTTTCTGCTATGAAGGCCAACCAGACCTCTTTCACCTCTGCTATGTGGTGTTTTGTCAATGGCCAGGGGAGGGGTCATTCTCAGTCAAAGCTGTCCATAAAATGATCCGTTGCGAGATGGAGACATATATGCAGACCGAGGGTGTCTCTCAGGGGTGTTCTGAGGCAGCTTTTGCAAATGACCTGGGAACAGCTGGGGAAAATTTAGACTCGCTTTTTCTGGCTCCCTTTACTAGGCCAGCCTCAACAGAGGGTCATCTTGATCAGCCACTTCCAGCCCCTTTTCTTCAGTTGGTTACTCGGGTTTGTGAGGTTTTGTGGGTCTCTCCTATTGCATTTGACTTACTCCTTTCTTGTTAACAGAAAGGATGGCAAGTGACTACTTGGTTTTTCCTCCTTTTCCTGATATTGCTGTTCATGATGGGAGATTTGCCATTCAGTTATACGATGGGATAGCTATGCCTTGTCCCTCACATTTATCAGAACAGCATGATTTTCAATGGATAGACCCCTTTTTGGAACCTGTGATCACTTTAAACACATCACAGTTTTCTCGGATTCGTCTTACACTCACAACTGTCCTGAGGTATTTATCTTCAACCCAACTTTTGTTGGAAGCATATCAACATTCCCCTCAGCCCATTTAGGGATTTTGCTGACATCTACCTCAGTCAGATTGTCTTCTTCAGTTTTTTCTCTGGTTTCCTGGCTGGTTTGTTGTTGGGATTTATTGGGTAAAGATGCTTTGTTAGAAAGTGTTTGTATACAGCCTTCTGCCCTCACAAAGTTATGGGAAGCTCCTTTCCTCCATCCCAAGTTGTTTGCTGAAGTTCCAGAGACATTAGAATCACGAATTTATTCAACTTGTTTACATTCTTCTTTATCGTCATTAGCTTCTTGCCTTTCTGGCACCAATTTGGGAGTGTCAGCTCCTAGTGTTTCCTGATCCCCTCCTTCAGTTTCCAGGTCTATTGGTTCCCATATTAGAGTCCTTCCATATTCTCAAGGATCTTCAGGTTGGGTGGACTGTCGACAAAGGCGTTGGTGACTATCCCATGGGTAGGGGAGCAGTGGGAGCACGATTACATCACTTTCTGGGCATCTGGAGTTCTTTCACCAGAGATCCATGGGTACTCCATGTTCTGGCTTCAGGGTTGGTCATTCAGTTTACATCACCTTCACCATTATCTGCACAACCTGTTGCCTTTTCACTTCCAACAGGTCCACAGTGAGTGGAACTTTGTTCCCAGGCCATAAGAGAGTCATTAGTCAAAAGGGCAGTAGAGAGGGTCGATCCCATTCTTCCAGGATTTTATTCCTGTTTATTCATTGTACCCAAGAATACAGGAGATAGGCATCCAATCATCAATCTGTATCGACTCAACCAATTTTTAGATCCTCCTCGCTTTAACTGTAATCTTTTCTCAACCTATGTGAAGACATGGTGCAGGCTGGTATGTTGACTACTTCTAATACTTTTCTATCTCATTACTTATGTGATCTGGCAGTTTCCTCTTCTGAGTGTTTTCGACCACCCCCTATATCTACTTTGCCCACATCTGTTAGACACTATCAAAATCCAAGCTACAACAAGTTCAACATGTAAGAATCATTAAACCTTTCAAATATGGATTTTAAAACACAAATTGTACATAATTAGTTAAGATATTAATGTAAAACTTAAATGCAATCTGTCTACCAAACTAATACACATAAGGCACGAAACTTGCCAACCACTATGTACCCCTCAAGAGAACGATGTACTAAGTTTCTTTTCTATCTCATAGTACGAATACATACACTAGTAATGTTTCTTCAGCTATTAAGTAAATAGCAAAAAATCTGCTCTTTCTATTGGTTATAAGCATACCTTTCAACTTCAAACTGTTGCTTACCAACACAGCTTCTACTTTGCAAGTGGGCATGGCTGACTTTAAACTTAGAAAATTATGGAAAGTTACCAGACAGTAATAAAATACATCTCTTCGCAATACTTTGACAGTCTGAACTAACAGTCTATATTAGCTACTCACAGTTTCTTGTATAAGAACTTCTAAAAGTTTTGAATTGTAACTGTGGGTGGATCACGTGACAGAAAAAAAACTGCAGTTTTAGTTGCTGTTTTAGATGTTTTTGTTTAAAATTAAGGAATAAAACAGATAATATAAAACTTTAAATTCTAATATACTTCATAATAATAATTTCATTAAAATGCATTTATAGTAAATTGGTTTAATTAAATTTTGAATGTAACTCAGTAACATGCACAGAAGGTGGTTAACGGTGTTTAAAAATGGGGTCATTGCTATAGAGTTAATCTATCCTTATATGACAGACAATCTTTCAATTCCAGGTATTATCCTAGTATAGCTTTCCTCTGAACCCTTTCCAACAATTCAATATCCTTTCTAAAGTAAGGATCCAAAGACTGAACAGTACTCTAGATGTGGCCTAACCAATGACCTATACAGTGACATTATACCCTCTTTAGGCATTTATTCAGTTTTTCTGAAGTTACAACCTAAAATTGTTTTTGCCTTGCCACTAGCAACAGCACACTGCTTATAAGTCTTAAGAGTATGATCAACCAAAACATCAACATCCTTTTCTTCCATAACACTGCTAAAATTATTTCCATCAAAATTATAATTCAAATTGTGATATCCCACATGCATTAACCTGAATTTGTTATAATTGAAAGCCATCTGCCATTTATTCTCTTAACTCACCAAATAATACAAATCCATTTGTAAAGCAGCAGCATCCTACTTCGCAGCCATCAACACCTAAAACTTTAATATCATCAGTAAATTCAAATAATATATTGACTATTCCTTCATCTACGTAATTGATGTAAATCAGAAAGAGCTAAGGCCCTAAGATTGAGCCCTTAGATACTCTACTTGTGACATTAATCTAGTTTGAATGAATTCCATATACAACCACTCTCTACTTTATTCCATTTAGCCAGTTTTCTAAAGGAGTCAATCTATCCCCACATCTATAGAGATAATATTTTTAATAGGCCTTTTATGTGGCACCTTGTCAGATGTTTTCTGAAAATTCAAATACACCAAATCTATACTTTCACTTTATCTATGCAAGCAGTAACCTCTTCAAAGAATGTCAAAAGATTAGTAAAGCAAAATTTTCCCTTAATGAAACCATACTGATTTTCTGAAAATTTAAACTTTGTTAAATGACTATCCAAAGTTTTTTTTATCAGAATTGCAAAAACTTTTTTCCACCACTAATGTAAGACTAATAGGTCTATAATTACTGGGATAATTTTTATCACCTCCCTTGAAAAGAGGTGTAACATTGGCCAACTCTCAATCATCTGGGACCTGTCCACTATTCAAGGACTTAAAGAAAATAGTAGCAAGTGGCTCACATGTTAAATTCTTAATTGCTTTTAAAACTCTTGAGTAAGTATTATCTGGTATAGGAGTATTATCATTATTTAATCTTTCCAATTCTTCTTAACGAGCTCATGATTAATGTGATCATCTTTTTCAATATTATTTCCATCTAGCAGCTGTTCAGGATGAGGAATATTGCTTAAATCTGCATTTTTTAAATCTCAGAAAAAAAATCTAGGTATGTTAATACTCAGAATTTTTTTATGGTAAACATAAAAAAGGTAAAAAAACAATGTGTGCATGCGTCTTATCACTGGAAATGTAAGCTCAGCTCATTTATGCATATCTTAATATATCATACAAGAAGCAAACTTGATTTTTAAGAAAAGAAAATACATGATCATATTGTTCAAGATCTTTTATTAAGATTTCATGGTAGTTTCTACTATTAAGCTTGTTTTATAATTAAAACCAATATGCAGGGGTTTAAATAAAATAATAAATAAGGACAGATTCATATGTGAACCATCTTAGTTATATTGGTCTGGTATTGAACTAAAAAAACAATACAAATATTAATGTGTAAGTGAAAGCAACCACAGTTAGTATTGTTGTCCTTGACCTTCAATGGCTAGTCAAACTACACCCTT